CCTTCCTTCCTTCCTTCCTTCCTTCCTTCCTTCCTTCCTTCCTTCCTTCCTTCCTTCCTTCCTTCCTGCAGTGTGAAAAGAACTATAGAGATTGATGAAAGGGTCAGAAAATCCTGTAAAAAAAGGACCATCTATGAGGAAGTTGAAGCTTGTGGTCACCGGCCCTTTAAGGCTGGGCTTCATAAGAATCACTTGACTTAAAGTGTCTCTTGCAGATAAAAACCCAAAAATGTAAATGAATTGAAGGCTGTTGACTGTGAGGAGGAGGGGCTTTAAATGATCAGGATCGCTGCTTGACGCTCATAACAAGGGCTGGGTAATTACTTGCATTTGCAATATAATCCCAATTTGATAAAACACAACTTTCAGCCCATTAGGTGGTGCTAATGTGCTTAAATTCTGCTGCCACACAGGAGAGAGTTGTCAGTACAAAGATGCATGTAGAATTAAGCACAAAGATTACAGTAGAGTCCTGCAACAATGGACTCTGGACAAACTTTTATGGTCATTCTATGCTTGAGGTTGGTGCAAAGGAAAATCTGAATAAAATCACTATTTAGATTTTTTGTGAAAAATCGTTCAGTCCTAATGATAGCTACAGAAAAAGCTCAGCTTTAACATGAAGGAGCTAAATTTATCATAACGTTGCTTATGTGCTGTTTAGGGGTCAAATACATTATAGAATTCAGTTGTTATAACTGCGATTTTCTGACCAGTTTGCAAAGCTTCTATATATAAAATAAGGGTGCTGGTTTTTCCATTTTTCTGTTTATTTAGCAGATTAGCAAAGTTGGTGAAACTAAACCAGAGGAGGAGTTTCTATGGTCATTTTGTAGACTCCTGTGTACAATCGGAGGCCTCGACCCGCTTAAGCAGGGCTGGCACTTGTCCGGGCGCTGTCCTAACTCATGCCTTTATGCAGTGATGTGAGGAAGCAGGCCTGCAGCCGGTGGTAACTCAGTGTGTGTCAGAAACGATCGCCTGAGGAAAGCGCGTTACACGCCGCGTGTTCCTGTAAGCGAGAAGGTGTCACGCTGCAGCAGCCCCTCTCTTTTCAGGCTCATGGTGTTTTTGAGCATTTCAGCACAGGCAACATTTTGTTTAAGATGATGTAGCCCTATTTTGAGCAAAGGAAGCACACAGAAATAGACGTTTCAGCAACTATAGCTGTCAGGTTCTTTACCCGCACCCTGGAGGCAGGTATGGACCACAGGCTGACTCTTACCTTCCCATCACTCACCTGCAGGATGAAGATAGGAGGAGATGAAGGAGGGGGGGCTTCTGCATAATTCAGAGTGTCAGTGTAGCTAAGTGATGGCTGGCTTTATAGGCCGACGAGATGGAGAGAGTTGCAAGGAGAGGGAAAGGTGAATATTTATACTCTTCAAAAGTTTCTACAAATGGATAAAAAAACAGCAAACTGGTTTCTTTTAGCTTCTCCATATCAGGGTTTGAGCAAGTTAAAACCTGACCCAACCAAAACAATAATGGAATAAAAATCAGTTCAGTTTTCTGGGAAACAGAGTATTTGAATGCATCTGAAACTCTGCCAGGATCTCTCTGGCTGTTTACACCGAGCACAGACGTTTATCAGCGTTAATTAGCCCATAATTCTGCAACCGTTGGGTTGTAAGGAGCAGCTGTAATCTGCAGAAAAACCTCACCTTCATCCCCCCACTGCTGTAGGAAACACCCGACACAACAATCTGTTTGGATCAAAACACCGATTAATTATCGAGGAACAAGAGGCAAAGAACGGAAGTGTGCGTTTGGGGAATGAGCTACAAATCCCTGATTTGTGTATTAATGGGGATTTAAAAGATGAAAAGAGACAACCTGTTTGGAGGGTGGAGGCTGTTTAGACTGACCCAGGAGGGCGACTTGCTGCACTGCTTTATTTTTTTCAAAGATGCAAAACTGAAACAAACACTGAAGGTTTGTTTGGATTATAGACTTGTCTAACTTTGTTTTCCTTTTCCTTGTCCAGGAGTCCTTTAAGTTTTATGCAGAGAAGCTGAGAGGGAAAGCCAGCAAAGGTCAGCCAGCAGCTGAGGAATAAAGAGCTATCACCATCTCCTCAGATGTCCGTTCAATTGTCTTTTCTTGTTTTGTTTTTTTTGTTTTTTTTTGTATAAGTTGATGCAGAAATGTGGAATATTGGATTATGTCTGTTTTAGCCTCCGTCTACTGTGATGATCGTAATGTTCATTAAGATGTTAAGAATGTACAGAAGTATTTATGCTAATAAATGATGATGGATGAATTGTGTCTAAATGTTTTTATGTTGTTTTTACTTCAATTTAATGGAAAATCCTCTAGATTTTCAAACTTAATTCCAATCCCTTTTAAAATATAATATAATGCTACAGTTGTGAATATACCAACCCTTCTCTATTAAACATATTTTTAATGGACCACATATCTAAAGACATCAAACAGTAGTTGACCATAAATTGTATACATAAGAGATGGAGGAAAAAAGCTCCTTTTTTAACTGCTAATGGTGTTGGGTTATAGAAGAATTGTTCAACTTTTAAGGATTCCAGAGTTCTGTTGGGGTCCTAATTAAGAGACGGACAGAACAACTTAGCTCATGAACCGACAACAGCCTGGTTTTAACAGCAAAGGTTAAGGCAGAGTAGCGAGAATGATTCGCAATCAAACAGACAAGGAGAATGAGAGTTTCAGGGGGATTTAATCCCAGGATTTAATAGGTGCAGCTGTTTCGAGAAAAAAAAAAAGAAAATTCACTGTACCACTGTACTGGCTACACAAGACTCCACTGCTGAAAGAAAGGCTTGTTTAAGCATCAAGTTTCCACCACTTCATACATTTTTTGAGTTTCAAGTCTGGAGATCAAGATATGCTTTTTAACCCCATAAGACCCCACCAAGTGAAATCTGGAAATAATTTTCAAACCCCATTGGATTTCCAAACATTTGAAGGAATAATGAAGTTATGAATGTGATTTGATAACAGTCTGCTCCCATTGACCAGAATAACGATGTATTAAAGATGGATGTTTCAGAAGGAGAAAAAGTTGAAACACACCTAAATAACCTATTAGCGTGATGCAGAAAAAACCAAAGCTGACCCAGCCACTAACCTGAGTTTAAAAACTCAGGTGATTACTGCTGATTTTCATTCATATGTACCAGCAACAGCCACAAGAGGGCATGCTAATCACAGGAAATGGGAACTTGGTTTGTAACCAAAATGCATTCGGTTTTTAAAAAAAAAAAAAAAAAAAGAAAGTTAACCAAAGTATGTAGGCACTGCATATTTTTGTGAAAAATCAACAAGTGGGACACAATCGTGAAGTGGAATATTTATTGGATATTTTAAACTTTTTTAATAAAACAATGAAGAGTGGGGTGTTTAAAATCAACCAACCCCTTTTCTATCAGAGCAGCAAATTCTTCTGAAGTTCAGTGAGGATCTCTGAATGACCTAAACCAACTCTCCATATAAAGGCCTCAGAGGTCTGTTTAAAGCACCAAGAATATCATGAAGAACTTGGAACACAGCAGGCAGGTCTGAGATACTGTTGTGAAGTTTAAAGCCGGATTTGGATACCAAAAAATACCCAAGCTTTAAATATCCCAAGGAGCACTGAGCAAATGATAATATTGAAATGGAAGGAGTATCAGACCACTGTGAATCTATAAAGACTCAGCCGTCTCTCTAAACTTTCAGTTCAACCAAGGAAATGGCTGATCAGAGATGCATCCAAGATGCCCATGATCCTTCTGGATGAACTGCAAAGATATACAGCTGAGGTGAGAGACTCTGTCCATAGGACAACAATCAGTTGTATACTGATTGTAGTAAATCTGTTGTAAATCTGGCCTTTATGGAAGAAAGACATTTCTTTAAAATATCCATAAAAAGTATTGTTTAAAGTTTGCCACAAGCCATCTGGGAGCTCTGCTCAGATGAAACCAAAATCTAAATTTGAAATCTGACTTACAAGTTTTACCTTTACATACTGGTGACAGAGCTCCTTTCCCCGTCACTGTTCCATTCAAATGGCACAATGTACAATAGTTTCATGTACATTTCATTCCATCAAGGATGTCGAAGATTGTAGAAGATTTTTTGTCTTTCTTCCAGAAATTGAGATTTCCATCATTAGCCGCCCCCTTCCACAAACTTCTTCTCCTCCTCATCATCATACTCCATGGGTTTTTTTTTACCAGATGCTACATTGGAAGAGGGGACCCGTCCGATTGCATGACAGCAGGCGAGACTTGATCGTTCTTGGCCGTCTTGCAAAATTCAATCATTCCCCACATTCTCCAATCCCATGACGGCCCATTAAACAGTATCACGGTTAGGATTTCCCCCCCCATGTGTTTTAAATTCACTATACGGTCGATAGGTCTACCACTTGCTTGAATACAGAAAGACAAGGAGCTCAGCGGAAAGGGAAATGTTGCACTAGTTGCTGGAAAGGCTAAGCCAAAAAGATAAGAAGGAACCACACTGTTATTTTTCTTTATCTGTATTGCAGTCCGTAATCAATGAGGGTGTCAAAACAAGGAGAGTCCATATTTCTAAATCACATTAAGAAAAGAATTCAGGGATTCTTCCTTTAAATCAATGTGGAGTTAATTTCAGTATCTATTTTTCAGTCATTGCTTGAGTTATTCCACACATATGCTGCTTTCTCACCAAGCATAGTTTAAGTCTCCAAAGAAAAAAACAAAGACGCAGATAAAGAGAATAGGTCAAGATTGAGACACCAGATGATGCTGACCCCAGATGCTGTGTGATGAGCTGGGAAATGAATCAGATTATGACTGACCACAAGATCCCGCATCCTGTTTGTCTTCATGGAATGCTAAGATACACAGACACGTAAACCGGGTGAGATTATTTCTGATTTGGTGTGCAGAGGATATGATGCACGCATTAATCTAGAGACCTGGGCAAACACCTCAAAGTAATGTCTCAGTCTGTCTCTATAAATGAAGATTAGGCATTTCTATACATCTGTGGAAACCCCCCACAAAAACAAAGAAGAATTATTACCCGATGTGTCAAGTTGTGTCACTCATGATGCTCAAAACATCTCATAATCTAAGAATAAAAAAACAAGAACAAAATACAACAGAAAAATAATAATTTTGCTATTAATATGCATTAGGTCAAAACATTGCTGCTCCTCATCAATCCTCACACTAGGTTCTTGAGTTCTGCCAGGTCCCTATGACAAATTTTAAATCACACAGTGACCTCTACTGATATATTTAAAGAAATGCACAGGATTTTCCCTGAAAAATTGCCAAATAAGATATCTACATAGCCTAGGAAAGGCTTTTTAGAGTCTTAACTTTTCCACAATTTGTCATATTTAAAAATATTTAATAAATGGTAAATCTAAATGTATCTTATTGCGATATGCCAACACAAGACGATAAGCTTTTAGGATATCCATTAATCATAGTATTGTTGTCTCTGTTGTACACCGATGCATGTTTTGTGAAGTTTACCCTTCTTTTGATGCACTTTATGACGCTTGCTGAAGCAGCACAGCTATGCTCCAGGCTCAGCTAGAAGTTCAACTGGGTTTTTCTCAATAATTGCAGCCTTGATAGCAGTAAATCCCTCTGTCATCTATCCCACACCTATGAGCTCTTCGTAGTGACTGAAAGTGGGATATAAAGCATTTTGGTATATGTGGTAAATAATTGCATGAACCAGAAACTAAGTATATTATAATTCTCTGTAGATTTGCATGTTTTTCTAGAAATACCTAATAAATTAATATTCTATTCTAATCAATTCCTGGCACGTAAATTCAGGGTTTGGAAAATACATTAATACATTATCCCTCAATGTACAAACAGACAACTTTCCCCTTTTTTTGTACATTTGAAATGTATATTTCGTAAGAGCAGCTTTTGATATAAACCTGATGTACTAAACTAAACATTTAAAATATTTCATTGCTTTGTGTAGCTTTGCAGGAAGTGAGACCCTGCTCCTGATTTACATTGAGTTTCAGAAAAACTTCCAGTAATCCTCTGTACTGTCGTGTCCTGCTGTCATCATTACTCCACGGTCTGTTTATCTTCAGAGTCAAGATATCAGTTCCTTTCTGTCTCTCTGTTTCCTTGCTTGTTTTTTGTATTCTACCAAACATTGAATCTATTTTTTATGCTGTAAATATTTTTTATGAGTTTATCTGATAATAATTACAATAAAAAATGCTTGTACAATGTGTGGTTTGTAATTATTTTTGCACTAATCAGGAAGCTAAAGAATAATAACTCTGGCCAGGTGGTAAAACAAAAGAAACAAACAAACGAACAAACAAAAAAAGAACATTTTTTATGGATACAGTAAATATTTAAGAAATAATGAAAGGAATGAATCAAATACATAACTCTCAAGCTTGTCATAATCTACGATTACTTCAGCTCAATACATTAAAGTCTTTTAAAGCAGTGGTCTCCAATTGTTTAATTTCCTTCCCTGCTAACATGAAACAGTTGTGTTAAAGTAACTAAATATGATTAAGTAAATGCAAAAAACAGTTGCATCATTTTTTTTCAGTGGAATGGGTCATGAAAAAGAGGAAGCTGGAAGTCTTCGGCTATAGATTCAAACAGGTCCAGCCTTCTCCAGCTGTGACAGCTGACGCACAAAGCAGGCATTAAATGGCTGACTTCTCACTCCTGTTTTGTGTGCTAATTTAATTGTGGAGGAGCTTCAGCAGCAGAACCGTTGTCATAGATGTTGGATTTTAGTCCCCACACTGCACAGAATGTGTCCTTAAATGTCAGCCAAGTCCATTTGCAACATATCTGACAATTTAAATTGTGAAACCTTTTCATGATTTGTCACTGGGAGAACTTGCAAAAATACAATGAAATACTTGTATATCTATCAAGTACTTATTTTCCTTACTGTTTACTTGTACTGAATCGGCTGTATACGATCCAGACATTGCAAAGTTGTTTCAGTAAAATATTTAATTAATAAAACAATTCAAGTTAATCCAAGTAGCAAAAATAAAGCAAAGGTTTTGCTAAATAAAACCAGTGGTACTTCACTCAGGACAAGGCCTAGAGAGGGCTACCAACCAAGATGGTGCCATGGTGCATGCTAAGACAGCGGTCCGTCTGAAGACCGCACAGTCTGCTATGGTGCATTTTTGGTAAAGAGGGCCGTCTTGTATTCTTGGCAGGTAGAGCAGTGCTCTGGCTGAGGATGTGTCACGAGTAGATGAGAAGGCACAATGCTGAGA